TATAGTGTCATCATATATATATATATATATATATATATATATATATATATATATATATATATATATATATATATATATATATATATATATATATATATATATATATATATATATATATATATATATATATATATATATATATATATATATATATGATGACACTATATTCCGGGATATCATCCGTTCGCTCGTTGAACTCCGACTGGAATCCTGCATCCGGCTGGAATCAGTGTTCGAAGTGTTTTCGGAGCGCGAGCATTGAAGATGCCAAGTGAGATTTTGGCGAAACGTCTGCAGGATTCCAGTCGGATGCAGGATTTGCAGGATTCCAGCCGGATGCAGGATTCCAGTCGGAGTTCAACGAGCGAACGGATGATATCCCGGAATATAGTGTCATCACATTTTTCCATCCGTGAATCAATACGTGAGAATATATATATATATATATATATATATATATATATATATATATATATATATATATATATATATATATATATATATATATATATATATATATATATATATATATATATATATATATATATATATATATATATATATATATATATATATATATATATATATATATATATATATATATATATATATATATATATGCCTAGTTCTGTCGTATTCTTAAAAGCTGGGTAAAATAAGTTTTACTTCAGTGAGAGGCAAACTTGTAATTTAGTTTTGGTTAGTTAAAATATAAATTGATGATTGCGAAACGTAACTAGGTTGAATTTAATATCGAGGTAACAATAAATTAGACACCTATATAGAGGTACCTTTCCGACTAAGGAATTTCAAGTTAACCACGGGGTGTAAAATTAATTTAGTTTACATAATATCTCTTAGTTTGCCTGATGAAGGTAGGAACACTGCCAGTAGCAAACGCAGAAATTTCCAATTTTCCGTAATGCCTCAAGCAACGACCTCGCCTTTATTAACGTGGAACCCGCAAAAAAGGAAAATGTCCACTAAAATCGCGACTGAAGGTGATATCGGCCAAATATTCTTCAGTTAATATCATCCGTTGATAACAAATTAATGATGCTTGGAATATTTTATTCGTATACATTCTCATCCCAAAGCAGGTAAAATTAGATAAATATTTAAAATTTACCCACACAATTTCATGTTTAAATGTTTGCCCTCATTAGAAATTCTGTTTGTTTATGAATAATTAATTATTCATGTATTTAAAATTTGATATTCAAATGTCGTTATTACGCAATTATAATCTTCATTAGAGGATCACCTCTAAAAAAATATCGTTATGGGGCATATGTTTGTTTTACGCGTTATGCCTCGATTTGATATAAATGGAAATATAGTCCTGGTCGCTGCAAAACAGGTCTGCCATTTTATGCCATCAAATAATGAAATACCCCAGAGAACATAGGAAAGCAAGGATAAAATAAAGATGAGATAAGAATAAATAATTAAAAAAATAAAAATAAAAATATAATTAAAAATTTGGGCATTTCAGAAATTACAAAATATATTAAACTGTGGGTAATTTTTAGATGATGCATTTAAACGTAGATTTTATTGGGAGAATTTTGGGAATATGGAGAAATATGAGTGTTGCATTATTGTTAATCTTTTATCTTTTTGGTGTTAATGACAACATTAAAAATTCCATCTAAATCGCAAGAATAATTTATTAGATTTGATAGATTACATTGGAACGACCAAATCACTACTCATTTTATTAGATAACCGTAAATTCAAATCAATCAAATTGGATAGTAATAGATCATAAACAAAGACAGGAAACATTTTTACAATAAAAAAATTTGACTAACACACAAAAATAAACGCCAGTCATTTCGTATACTATATAGACTGAGTTTAACGCCTGTATTTATTCTCTTAAAGGCCCAAAAACCTTTTTTTTTCACTCCCTTCTTGTTGCAAAAATGTACCCAGAAAGTAATGGTTGTAGAAAAAGTATAGTATGCAACACGTTTAACCTATGTTTAAATTCGCTCGAAGTTGAGACTTCCTTTATGTCCACTTTTTTGGTTTCTGATATTAAATTGATGAATATCAAAGTCCTGTTTATTTATTTTTTTTGAGTGTTTCTGGATGTAAATTAGTAGATTCAAAGTATATATGCCGACAACCGATAATAGATTGTGTCTTTTAAAGACTTCCTAACTATTTCAAACTGAAAATTAGAAGAATGGTTGCTTTTTTTACTAGCAAAGTAAACAAGATAGGTTTAATGAACATATAAGAAATCAATATGGCTACATTAATTATCTTTCTAAGAAATTATGACATTTTAACTGAAGGCTAGGTTGCTCCGCAGATGAATGCAAACAAATCTCCAAGCAACAATGGCAAATATCATGTGCCCACTGTATGCTAGAGTCACATCAAATATGACCTTTATTTCAATGACCTGAAGGTGTCATACAGGTTGTACCGAAAATTGTCAATTCTCACAAAAAATTAGTAACGGTATAAACTCATTTGACATTACAGTTGAGATGTTCAATAGTTTATCAATAAAATCAATAAAAAAAGCAACCGTCTCTCGTGTTAAAAATTCAGGAAAAAATATGTCTTATAAATTATTTACCTAGATAGACTGGACCTTGCTATTTGACATCGACAATCGCACGGAAAATCAATGCAAAAATGGAAAGATGCATATGAATATTCGAAATTTGGATTTTGTATAAATTAATGAATTTCTTAACGGTAAAGTTAACTATAGGGAAGGGTTGCGTTGAGAATAATACTAATTTTTTTTCAGAAATTCTATGACATCAGTGTTGGCAAGTCCTAAAAAAAGCCGTCAAAATCAACTTGTTTTTATTATTTTTGGGCACGAACGAGACAAGACACGCTATTTTAATAAAAATACCACAGAAAATACGGATTCATCTAAGTGAAAAAACCCATAAACGGAAAAATAATATATTTATTTATAAGATCCCATTTGACAACACTGTTCGGCTGCAATCAATGACGAACTACTCGCGGTCGTGCCGTGCCGGACCCGCTCGAGTCTCGTCGGCTCCTCTTCCGTCTCGTCGTTCGCCATACGGCGCCTTGGCGTCAATTTTGAGTATTTTGTGTGCTGTCGGAAAGTTGTAGTGAAGGGTATTTTTTGATGGAACGCTTAATATCTTTAATGTGGAAATTATTAGAGAGAAGAGAAGAGGTAAGGTGTTTTAATTCTGTTTTCAGTGATTCGGGCTGAGATAGTTTTACGGCTCTGTACACAAGAGAGTTGATAACCGATGATTTGTGGGCCTGATGGTGATGTGACCATGGATTTAGGTATCGGTCTGTGTCCGTAGGTGACCCAATGTTAGGTCTGATTGTCTATTGATAAGAATATCTAAGAATGGAACTTAGCTTCCAACTCAATGGTAAAACGTATGTTAGGGTGTATCGAGTATAAATGTCTAAGAAAATCTACTATGGTTTCTTGATCAGGAGGCCAAATAACAAAAGTATCATCGACGTAGCGTTTCCATAATTTTGGTTTTAGATGGAAGGTGTCGAGAGCTTTCTTCTCAAAGGCTTATATTTGCGATGACTTCGGATTTTAATACATCTGAAATGATGTCGAGAGTTTCAGGAATAGGAACTTTGGTAAAGAGGGATTCTACGTCGAAACTAACTAGAATATCTTGTGTATCTAATGTAATGCTTTTTAATTGTTCAATGAAGTGAAAGGAATTAAATACGAAACTGTCAGTTTTCCCTGTAAGGGGTTATAATAAGGAAGCTAGATATTTTGCCAGAGAATATGTTGGATGGTGCTGACAATAGGTCGAAGGGGTAATCCTGGTTTGTGAATCTTTGGGAGTCCTTAGAGACGAGGAATTTTAGAGTCGTGAGGGGTAACAGATTTTTTAAGAGTGTGGTAGAGAAGAAGCCTTAATAACAGATTTAAGGTTGCGATCCATAGATAACGTAGGATCTTTTTTAAGTTGACGATATGATCCGTCTGTAAGAATATCTTGAATCTTTTCCTGATATTCATTTGTGTCCATGACTACCGTAGCATTTCCTTTATCTGCTTTTAGGATTACGATGTCTGGATTGGATTTTAGAGATTTTAGGTCGATGCGTTCAGGCTTTGCAATATTGGATTTAGGAGGTTTTGATTTTTTAAGGATTTTTGCGGTTTCAGATCGAATCTCGTTAGCTGTTTGAGATGACAGTTTGTTTAGGACAGACTCGACATTTGAAATGATTTCCTCTTTTGGGATAATACGTGGCGCAAGGACGCAATTTCGACTCAGCAAAAACCGACGCAGGAGGGATCCAGAAGTTTTGTATTACAGTAGTCTGTGGAAGTTTCTTTGAAAAATTATCTAGGTATATCTAATGTCCTCGCAGTCGGATATACTAACGATGTCTCAACTAGTATAACTGGATTTCCTTAGTGTGTTCTAACAAACATCCTACGGACATACGTATGTGATATACTGTGGACGTTCCAATTAGTAACATCGTATATCCTTGAGACGTCTTAAGGATGTCCCTTAGCTGAAACAGGACATACGCTATGTCCCGTCAGATATCGCGAGGACTTTTTACGGACGTCCTTGTGCTATTTGGGACATCGGCATAGAAAAATGTTGACAAAAGTTATTTATAATTTGGGCCATTTTAATTTCTAATGTTCTAAGATAAATTGGCAACGCTGCAGGTGCGTTAAATATTTCATAAGTACAAAAAAAACTATTTAGCTCTCCCGAACTTCTAATAGGACATTGAATGTTATTATATATATTATGTTAAATAATTGACTTAATTATGTCTATATAGAACAAAGCTAACGCGTCCGACGAATAAACTAGACCACCTCCGACTAAAATAGATGCCTTAAACAAGCCGACGCAAACAAGGACAACAAAAATAACCTTAACTCAACGACGTATGTATTTTTACATTCCAAGCGGGAACCGTGCCGCCTCCTGCAGTTAATTTCTCTTATTAGCGCCTCGAACACATTTTTAACGGATGTCAGGCAACCGGTAGAGTCGAACGATTGCAGCAGCTCCGCATCTAGTCGACGATTTGATGTGCTTACGTGACGATCGGCCATTTATGTTGAATTGAAAAAAAAATGTCCGAAAACGAGAGCCAACTACCGGGTCGAAATGACGACGGTGCCGCCGTAACATCAGCAGCGTCTGACCGAGCCAAGACGGGATTGGCCAAAATCAAAGAAAAGTTTTTGCGTGAGTTTTGTTGCGAATCGAACGTTTTGATGTTGGAACGCCGAAGGTCGCGGCAGTTTTCGCAATTGTTTATCGGCGTGTACCGTGACTCACGATTGTAAACATCTCAAATCAACGATAATTTGATGTGTATTGTTTTACCTCGGCTTATTGCTACGTTGCTCGAAATTCTTGGAAAGTTCATGAATTTTAACATTTTCAAATACCACAAACCAGTTTTTCCACAATTAATATGTTTAGCGGCAAAATTTTGTCGAAATAGAAATAGATCGATATTTTTATGGTTGTACTGCCTCCCTCAATAATAAAGAATGTTGACTTGTTGCGGCTTTCGTAACTCAGGACTACTTTTTGAAACGAAATGTGGCACAAAGGGAGATGTCAGTTATCTTGGGTTTTTAGATACAGGATAATTTTGAAAATTGGCAATTTTACGAAAAAGTTTTTTACGTAGGATCCAGTGGCGTATTTAGTTTTCTTCCTAAGTCTTTTTTATATATACAGGGTGTCCAAAATTAGACGTTAATATTTTAACCACGTAATCTGTGACCCAAAATAGAGATAAAAGTTCATATAAACTAGGGTCTTGGTTTTTAACACACACGGTGTTAAATTTGAAGAGGGATGGTGGGCATTTTTATCAACATATTTAGAAATAGCCGGCAGTATTGTTTATCACTTTGTCAGTAATTTCATATATATTTTTTTATAAACTGGCTTCATATTTTGACGGCATTCGGTAATTTAATTAAACTGGTCGAAATTATACATGAAATTTAAGCTAAATGCAAATAATAAATCCGGTTTTAACAATCGCTCGAGTTTTGTTGCACGTTTGCAGGGCCATATTAAGCGTGAAAAATTGCCGAGCTCGCGGGCCAACGGGCATCGCCATTATTTTTGTGCATCCAGTTTTTGTTTTGTCGTAAAGCAATGTTCGTGACAAGGGGCAATACAATAAATGAATAGGTAATCTATAGCGCAGCATGATGATAATGCGTAATTTTAACGATACGTTTTAACCACAAATCTGTGATTAGCTGTTAACGGTTGCCTAATTTGGAAAATTGCAGAAATAAATGCCGTACCGAATGGCGAAATTCCAAGAGCCTGTCAAAAAAAACATTTTTTTGCTACAACGGCACCGTCGCACTTGCATCTACTGCATAATGGACAACATGTGAATTGAAAAATTGCGGAAAGTATCATGACTCCGATCTCCATGTTCCTTTTTCTTTTTCCTTATTTGCCACTTCTCATCGAAGCACATTCTTCGGAGTAGCGCATGTCTATTCCAGTGTATTCTCGAAATTCTCGGATATGATTCATTCATCTGCAATTTTACCTTTGATTAGCAGCTGCAGTAGGCACTATTCATTCGCTACATGCTTTGTCCACGACATTCTTAGCATATGACGAAATATCCACATTTCAACGGCTTCCAATTTTCTTTTCCACTCTCAGGATTCAGAGTAATATGTAATAATACAGAATATAAATGTAGCACTTTACCACACAGGTAGCTAGTATTTAAAGTTAAATCTCAAGTATTAAAGAATTACATCATTTTGGCTTTAATTTCTACAATCCAACACCTAAGGTACTTGAATTTAGTTTCCTCTTGTATCACTTCATTATTTAACGTTTATATTCTTCTAGCGAACATTGATATTCAGTGCTTATTGGTTTCTGTCTGTAAGTCTATTCAGCAATTTTTGAAGCTAGCCTTCGTTATCAACTCATAGATCCTTGTTTTCAGATTTCAAGGTCAATTAACATATAATGTTGGGATCGACATTTTTGTAATAGAATTGCAAGGCTACATACATTTTTAGATATATTTTAGGCAAGTGAGAGATGAGACTGATGAGCCTGAGCCATTGCATCCTTTTGGTTAGTTTATAACAATACCTTAATAATTTAAATCATAACCAAGAACACATTATATATTTTATATTGCGTTCGTTCGCAACATCATATCTTTATTTTTATTAAAATTTTGTAGTTAAAAGACGCAATGTGTTTCAAAACAAATATAGAAGTATACGTGTTTTATATTTATAAATGCGTCGTGTATGGAAATAAGAGAATTAATTACATCTCACTTCAGGAAATAATTTGGGAGGGTTGAAATAGACGATCTATATATCCCTATCGATTTTCTCATTTAACTTAGACAGTTCTTCGATCGTAGTTAGTTTTTACGTGATATTCTTCCCGTATATCTTGTAAATAACGTTACTCTTTGGTTCAATATCACATTATAGCAATTACCAAAGTATTTCTTTTACGATATCACATTATAGCAATTACCAAAGTATTTCTTTTACGATAAGTTTAAATCCATATTTTCCTGGTTATTATATGCTTAGTTTAATCTGTAGTAAAAATCTATTAAGCACGCCATTAGGGGTTCAGCAGAGAACCTGACCAAAACTTACCAAGGAATAGACATTAGAGGAACTATGGTTTTAGTAAATAAAATTGTCGAGACTAAATCCCGAAATCTGCCTGCTTTCAATGTGGTAATTTTTAAACTTATTGTAAAACAAGTTTTTAATCTGGATAGAATACTAGTGGGTTTTCGTGAGTTCAGCCTTAAAAAATCATGAACATATTTAGTAGGAATTGTTCGCTAATCTTACTACCGTAACCATTATAAAACGCCAGCCTATAGTGGGTAAGCGGTCTAATAAATGTTACATAATTTTCTTTCTTTTCCAGCTGGCGTAAGGATAACGCTGCTCATCTCTTTAATCTTCTATATCGCCATGTTTGTGATCGGAATTATTGGCGTTCACAATTGTCCTGTGAACGAGAACATTCCGTTATTCTTAATCGCCACTGGTATGTAGAGGAAGAGACTCCATTTATACCCTAAAATAAACACCATACAGAAAATGCACATAAGCTAACCTAGTACTTGTAATTAGATATTTACATAGACTTAAGATAAGAAAATTTAATCTCCGTGTGATTCTTCTAAATTTGTGTCCAGTGCAAACGTAGCGTAACTCAAACGTGACGTCAGAAATTCGTTACGCATATGTCGCTTCTGTGTAATGTTTATTTTGAGGCAGTAAGTTAAACACCGCTGCGTCATGGAGCCTTTATCTACAGGGCTATTAGCAACGGCATGGGCGTGGTTAATTTTCCGTGTCACTTCTCTATAGGTAAATTAGTTGATTTGTTTAATATAAAATTTATTTCTACATGTAAAGCGCAAGCTAATATTTCAGAACAAGTTAAAAATTACCGTGACACAGGGACCGATCACAGAGCAATATTTTTAACTTAACAATTGCGACGGAGGTCAAGTAGATGACCTGAGCACATCGCCCTAGCCGAGCGGTGACGTAACTTTGTTTACTTGGGCGATTTATACTCTTTTGCTGTTCTTTATACTCATATTATTTTTGTTGTAGGCGGAATTGGTTTATTTTCAAAATCCGTGAGCTTTATTCGGGAAAAACTGATGCCCCACTTTACTATTCAATTTGTGGAATCGTCATTATACACGGCCGAAACAGTTTTCTTAATTTTCGGTAAGTATTGCAGCGAAACGGTGTCGATCCGTTTTTTGAGGGAGACGCACGAAAACTCGCAGCCAGCGTTGGGAAACTCTATTTGGTTTACAATGAAACGGATTGAGATTATTCCTTAACAAAAGAAAATAAGTTTCGGGTTCTCTCGATATGAAAAATATCTCAAATTACACAAGATCTAGAAAAATAAGCACTATTGGGTGCGATATGGTCTGTTCATAGATATAAAAAAGTGACCAATTGCTTTTGAATGGGATTATCCAAGGGTGGTCATCAACATACAATGCAACAAGATTATTACCTAAAGTTTTGGAATTTAAATTCAGGCAAAATTGTGGTCCGTAATAGAAAATAATTTTATACCTTCCTGTGTTTAATATTCTCTGGTTTGGTATACTACTTAGTTTAAGTTTATTAGTAGTCATTCTTATTTCGTGTGTAATACAGCGTATGTTGAATCGTGTGCGAATTATGCGAAATATGTGCGAGTCTAGTGTATGCAAAATTGTGAATAATCCCATTTGAGTGAGGTAAAAAAGAAGCGACGCTGACATTTAAGTAGGTAATAAAAATAATTTGTAATTTTATTTTAGATTTAAACATAAATACATACATAAATAAATAAATATTGTTAGTATCTTTCCTAACAAAACTCCATATAATGAAATTCTAAGCAAAGTACGGACCTGTTCGGCAATATTTCATTCTTACAGCTTGCCCGGGATTTTCCTTAATTCGTATCAGTTAGTCAAAACAGACTTTACCCGTACACAACTCACTTCTGATCGGGCTGTACCGGCTGTAGCTCGATACGATAATCGTTTAATCGTGGGGCGCCCTCTATCAACTTATAATACAACTCACAGCCGCAAATAGAAACATAGAAACCGCTACATGTCATAAATTTGTTTCGTTGGGGATATTTATAATAAAAAGAGTATAAGGAAAAAACACAAATATTAAACGATTTATAATTTAGAATAGAAAATGTCTTGAGTAATGTTTTGGAAGGGTTTTCACATCTATTAGAAAATAATTTCTTTGACATGCCCTGATTTTGTAAATTTTCTCTCAGTGTAGATCTTCCGTTAAACAAATTATAAACTTTTTGAGTTCTCGTTTTATTTTCATACCCAATAAAAATAAAAATTTCAATTGTTTGAGTTTCATTTTAATGATTTATGAACTTTGCTGGTCCTAGCTACTTTCTGTTTTTTAATCTTTTGCTCTTAAAAAGTAAGAGGTGACATGACAAGACATGATTATGGGAGAAATTTGATGCAGAATTCTAAAATATAATTAAAAAATTGTTTTGAAAAAGCACCGTACGTATTTTATAATTACTGCAAAAAATACACAAGAAAAATTTTTTCTTCAAACTTCACACTTCATTTGGAATGAATTTGTTCCAAATTTCCGTTCATAAAAAAAAACAATAAGTACGCTTCTGGAGATCGTATTGGTCTATTCTTCCTAATATTTTCCGCTTGTCAGGTTCAGGATCGTGCTACTTTAAACAGTGCACCTATTCTATTCCCCCGGATATTCTCCGGACTTCCCTAGCGATTTATCCCTCGCCAACAACCTAATGAAGTTTACTGTGTGTGTTTAAAGTTGTCCGTCCAAACCAAAATTACATTTGGTTTAGTTAGTTCTTTTCTACCCTGAATTATGGAGTTTATGCGTTTGTTACGGGTTAAGCCAATAAAATCTGATAGATATCTTCAATGTTTTGTCTTCATATGCTCCGAACCACCTAAACTTATTATATTATATATATAAAAGAATTAAGTAGAACAAAAATCTAACAGAAAGTAGGCGTAAAAAGATCTTTATAAATCATTGTCATTCATATATCGGAATGGTATAGTTGTATGAAAAACAAAACTTGCTACATAAAACACTTTTACTGCTCCCAACCATCTGCGAAAGATTTGTCTCTTTATCTGTACTATCGTCGACAATTCCCTATTCTATCTATCTATATGCAGCCAGCCAAACCCAAAGTTCAGGTCTCAAAAATAATTATATATCAAATCTGTGTCACGTGTTTCGCTTGTCCGGTTCACGTTTTGAGCGATGATTTTGGCTTTTGGAATATTTTTGCGATAATTGTCTAAAGTGTTTTGTTAATGAGTGTCTGTTAAATTTTGACAATGAACTTGGCACTTACGTGAAAGAACGGTGACATACATTTTACCATAGAAAATGAAGGCTAGAAATGGGGATTGTTGTTTTTGCCTTGTTTATTTATATAAATGATAAAATGGGAGGTCTTTTTGTTTTTGTTTCTTGTCGATTTACGGATTTATTTCTTACTGAAATATAATTTTTATATTTTCTTCCAATATTTGTAAAATATATAATTTATAATAATCTTACTTCTTAAAAAAAATGTGTATCTAAATAATATGCGCGAATATATCACGTCATACAAATGAACAATTAAAATTAACAATTTTCGCTATAGCCTCAAAATATTTTATTTATTTAAAAATAAATGAGTTATTTATTTATAAAACAACAGATTAAACGGATTATCTAATATTTTGGCAATACGCAATACCGTAATATATATGTTACCGAGTACATTGCTGACAATACAAGAATTTGCCATTTTAAAAAATGTTTATTAGCATCAGCATAAAATAATTTATCTAGTTATCGATATACATAAGGTAGTTACGGTCATAGTAAAAATATCTCACAACCACTTAGTTCAAGCCATTAAAATGATGATAAAGTACAGTATTTTTCACGACCAAGTGTTATTATCTGATATGCAAAAATAATATTAAATTACTATTAGGTCATTAGACTCTATTTAATCGTAATCGTCTTGGCATGTGTTCGGCAGTTTATCTCGATTCTTGAAACAGTGTGCATTAAAATTTTCAATGTCGTCTTTGAAAATTTCTATCAAAAAGCGCAACTGTTTATCCGTTAATTTCGAACTTGAACTAGATAATATCTAATAATAAAAATGTAATGTATTCGTATATTAATATAAGGGCATTATGTAGTAGATTTAAAATTAAAATTCATCAATACTCACATCACATTATATTTTAAGTAATAAAGAAGTTAAATAGAAGTTTAGAAATGATTGCAATATATTCACATAATAATGGGCCAATATTAAATCCAAATAAGTTTTTATTTTTATTTACTTCGGATCTTTTAAAGATTGGGCTAGTAAAATGCTTAACATTTGAATCAAAAACTTGGGTGTTATTTTTGATAATAAATTAAGGTTCAGGACTTATTTTGCTAAAATTACACAAAATGGTTATTATATATTAAGGCACTTATACAATAACAAACATATTCTTAACAGAGAGTTAAAACAATTATTGTTTGTATCTGGTCCCTGTTGGGATTTGAACACTAAACTCATGTATTCGTTTCATATTCATTCTAAAACTGAAAGACCGTGTTAGTTAAAAGCTGAAAGAATTACGCTGGCTTAACATCGGAGTACTGTCCATAATCGTCGTACACGTTTCAACAATCTTCATGAGATACCAAAAATGCCCAAAGCTATGTCTCAGAATTAATTTTTTTGTGTGTCTGCTAAGTTGCTAAACCGATACCCCGAGATAAGCTTGCTCCATCCAGACCATTTAAACAAAATTTTAAAAAGAAACTATTAATGGAATTTATGTAAGTTATATTTTTGTGCTTTTGTTAAATTCAGATTAGCTTTGTCAAATTTAGTGCTCTAATTATAATATTATAATTATAATTTTTGTGTTTTGCCTATTTCAGCAGTATTATTATTGTTGATCTATTGTTATTTATGATATTTGTTGTAAAATTAGCCTTATTGTCAGTTGATTTATGGATTTGTTTTACAAAGATATTGAAAATGCGTAATTTCTTGTGCATTAATATGCATGACAAAGCAAAGAATCCACTAAACGAGAACATAATATTTAATATTTGGGATTCAGTTAGAATATGTACAGCGCCCCTAAGAGTCTATTTAACATTCTCAATTACAAGACCAATTTCCGACCCATTTTAATGTCGTATCTTTTCCATTATCTGTCCTGCACAAATTTAACCTTTGTAGAAAGCAAGTCAATAAGCAACGACAAGCTTCGTCGGCCTCAAATAAAACTTTCTTTGACCCGGATCATACCTAAACATAAACATAAACTTAACAAAATCAATATTTACGTTTGTCTCCACCGTTTCAGGTTCGTATTGGGTGTTCAAAGTGTACAAACCGAGTTTCTACGAGGGCAGCAGCCGCTACTGCCAAAAAACCGTCTACATGTTCGCATTTATTTACTTGGCCGTCCTGTACGCTTTGTTATTGGCCATTCTGCTCGGATTTTTCTGTTTCCTCGGATGCATATTTTTCGTTAAACGAACTGAATCGGACAACAGAGACCCGGAAGCCCAGGCTCATATGCAGGGTGGTCCTCAGGAGAATAAAGAACATGGCGCGACCACCGAGCAGAATTAGCGGAGCCTGATGGATTAAAAATGATCCTTTCGTGTGCCCGCGCGGTCGTCGAAAAACAATGAGGTGTTTCGCCTGTTATTCGCAATGGACGGCAGTTTGTTATTCGAATTAATTGGTCCGGCCGGCATTACGCTGACGTAGGGTGCCGGTAAATCGCGTTAAAAACAAATGCGAAACAATTTTATTGTAACATTTTGACACTTCATTTTGAACGGTAAGTCGTGAAAAAAAAAGAGATTTTTCCGCGTTTCGTTAGGAGGGCAAATAACCCATGATAACAGGACAATTGGATATATTATAAGTTTACATTATATGTTTTCAAAATAGTATTTTTTTTTCTAAAAATGATAAATACTTTAATTATATATTCACTGTTAGACACAATTAATAAGGTGGCAATACTTAATTTTGATCTATATGGTGTTGAAGTTATTTTAGAACAAAAAAAAAGGTTTTTATTCCGTGCCTTTGTGGACGTCACTGGCGAAAGCAAAAAATTACTACTAGTTGCGAAATTTTAAGAAACCATCAACGAACTTATTTAATTGTAAGTATAATAAGGAATAGAAGAATAGCAGTGTAATTTTTTTTTCAAAAATATTCAGGTGGAATTTAATCGAAACCTAAGTCAGCTGTTTATCGTCAAAAATAAGCTTAATTACAAATATTTTGCTAGAAAAATGCTATTTACACACAAAGAATTCGCTCGAAACGGCTTTGTGACAAAAAAATCGGGATTTTTTAATTATATGAACCGTTCGTAGACTGAAATAGGGTTTAAGTTAGGTGCCTCGCTTAACTTGTTCGGCATTTAGGAGTGTCATACCAAACACAATTTTTATACGAATAATGCATTGTATTCTTTATATAATGCAAGAGTTTAATTTTTTACGCGCATTTTTTTTGTAAAATGTTTTTTACCCAATTACTTTCAATAAATATATTTAAAAAAATTTATCCTGTCTTGTATACTACCTTCGCATTAATGAGATAAAATAAAAAAACCGATTGGTACGAGCCGTACCCGAGTGAGAATAGATATCTCCAAAGTCCGAAAAGTTGCTGCAATGTAAAGCTGCGATTTACCACCTTTTCCAGTTGCAAATAAAAACAAGGTTGTAGACTCCAACTTCTAAAAGAAGTAACCTCCAGTTACTAAATATCTCTCGAAAAATTACCTAATATAGCTCATAAAATACGAAGAAATTACATGTTTATTAAAAATTAATTTTTCTAACCTACTTTTATTAGGTCCGAATCATATGTTTTCAAGCAATTACAACAATTACCAAGTCGCAGCAACTTATCGCCTAAAAGTAGTTACAATTTGATGCAGCTCGGCTGCATGCATTTAATTGGTCCATAAGAATGACTCAACGTAGGGCTTACGCTAGGCACCTGCGATATTTCGAGTAGTTAGATTTGGGTGGTCCTTAATTCGACATTTGATTCTTACAAAAATCCCTAATAACTCTTCTCGATATTTGGCATAAAAAATAGCATTCTAACAGCATTTCTAATACGAAGAACTATAGCAATTTGATCAACAAAATCTGTTAATCTACCCCAAAGGTAAAAATCCAGGACAAGAAGGTCTGGAGATCTGGCAGACCACGGCAACAAACTGTCCCTTAATATCCAACGGTTTAGATAAGTTTGTTCTAAAAAATTCCTAACTTTGTGAGAAAAGTGAGCTGGACATCCATCGTGTTGCAGCCGCATCGGCGTTTCTTAACAAAATTCTAATAAATCTGACCATTCACTTTACCATTAAATAAAAATGGTCCTATAATTCACCCAAAACATCACGCCAGAAGTTCACACACTCCACCGCGTTTGATGATTCACTTTACCAATGAGTATTCTGTCGACCAAAAATTCATATCATAGAATTCGGCGAATTACAGTAGTCTAATCTCCTATCAAATCAGTTTCTGAAAGAGCCCGAAGGAATTCGATATGATAACGGTGCAGATAGTGGTCTTTTAGAATTCGACGTACCGATGGTTTACTAATATCCAAAACTTATTCTTCTTAAGCTTAAATGTCGATTAATTAATGTGGACATAGGCCATGGTGGGCATGTCCTTACATTAGTGGCGTTTCTTCGTTCCTACCGAGTCTGGATTAGGATGAACTAGGCCTGTTTCGACCAAACTTCCAATAGCAATGAGGCCGAAAGTAATCCCACACTTGCCAGTGCTGTTGTTCCTTACATTCAAAACATCACTGACCACATATCAAAAGTTCTAACGATCTATAAGGTCAAAACCAAATTTACCACTTATCTAAAAATCCCTCAACCACTGTGGAAGTTTTTTTGAAAAAAATAAACAAAGGGTCAAATTGTGTCATGGAATACAAACTTTTTTTTTATCTATTATTCATATGATTTTCGTAAAAAGATCGATTATAAAAAACATTTGTTGTGAGTAAAGATTTTAAACATTTTTTGAATATCTTTTGCTCCACGTCTCTAGTTTCAGCATGAAGCTTGCTCGGAATTAAAAGGTGATTTTTTTATAGCAGTTGTTACTAAATTTTTATAACTGGAAGGTATTTTCATTTCATTTTTTTTTAAGTATTTAAATTAATAGTTTTAAGTAAATAAATATCTGTCAGGGTTAAAATTTCTGATATTGTAAGAGGTTATTGAGTTTACTGATAGGTAGTACACATTTAAAATAGAAGAGGGTTTTAAAGTAGATTTCAATGATAAGATAGAAAAATAAATTAATATACAGGGTTTTTTTATAAAGTAGGTCTGAAATTTTTGAATAGCTTTTTTAATTTTTCTATTGATTTCGTCATAAGTTTTCCCCGGGATTAAGATATTTGTATCGTCGAAATATTCACATTGTTTTACGTCATCTAGATAGTTAGGGCAATTTGCTTTAAATAATAAAGGGTCCCCTTTGGGGTTTCGGGATCATCACTAAAAGGATCAAATAAAAAATTATCAATTTTGACCACAATCTCAATCCGCGTTATACACGACTTTATACGGTTTATTCTTACTTCAATTCTAAGGTCTAGTCTTTTTAGAAAGGCGGAGTTTAATGTATCGAACGCTTGAGAAGAAAATTGCAACAATCACCTCCTTTTAGTTAGTAAAATAATTTTTTTTTTCAATTAATTTTTGTTTCTTTAATTTCTTGCGAACCAATTCCAAGAACTTTTTGGTTTTATTTTCCGCTTGACTAATTACATTCGCGTAGCGCGATTTTTTTTCTGTTTCAATCTAGTTCTTAAGTGGGATACGCTCTCCTTGTCTAATTTACACATGAGACAACAATAGAGGAACCGATCGGTACGAGATAAATAGGTTTAATGCCGTTTACCCATCGTGTTGCAAAATATAAGTGCTACTATCGCACTTTCGCATTTTATTACTCCACGTCGTCAGAAAAATTAATAACCGCAATATATAATTTCGGCAGTTCTATAATTTATAGCCGTCAAATGAGAGAAGGAAGAAACGCGTGACAAAATTGATCCCGAACTCCGCACGTTCAACGCGTCTAAACTGTAATTAAAAATAAATCGAACCGTCTTCGGAATTTATTACGCGCAGTTCGCTAAAAATATTGCACGGCGATGCGCCTTCCGCAACGGCGAGTTTAATAATAGTATTTTCGGGACCGTTGTGCGACATGCTAACATATCGAGTTCGCCCGAAAAAAATTCCCTTACCGAAACTTTCCGGTTGAAGTTCTACGCCGAGTTGCAAAGAAACGATGGCCGCGGAAAAAACCACCGCCGAAACTTCATCCGCATCCGGCGACGTCGAGAAGCAGGAGATTGCGACGACGATATCAAGCGGCGAGGAAAACAACAATCATTTTTTCGAGGAAAAAGTTAAAGAAAGGCCACCTCGTAAGTTGTTCGAGTAAAACCGCGCGGCGGAGAGATTTGAGCAAAAGGAAAACGTATTAAGTTCGCGTTTCCGGATCAAAGCAAAAGTCGTTTTTAATGATTGAAGAGATAAAGCAAAAACCCCAAACATTCGCACGTAGAGAAGAGACAAATTGGCGTTTGAGAGTTTGACTTATGGAAATGCCTATTTCCATTTATGTTGGAATTAATTTGATATGCCATTCAAAGTTTATCCATCTAGCTGAATTCCCAGACATTAACAATTAACATATCCGGTGAATATGGTGGCTAAGGCATGATTGCGGTTTTGTGTCAATCGTTATCCCATAATTCCGGACGTTTTCTTCTTATTGCTTCTCGAAAACCGTAGTAAGAACTCTTGATTCACTAGGTCACGATAATCAAAGAAAACCGTAAGCAAAACCTTGGACATTTGATCGAACTTGCCGTGTTTTTTTCGGTATTGGCGATTCGAGATTCTTCCATTGGGACGACTGGGCTTTGGTTTCGAACTCATAACCATATACCCATCATTCGTCACCACCTTTTTGAAAGTCATTGGCAATATTTCAAGTGTTTCACAGCACTGGATTCCATTTTTTACACAAAATTTTATGCAAATCCTTCGTTCCATTTTTTTTTTACAAAAAAAAGTTAACGTCCAAACTAGCTGAAATTGAATAGATGTGTGTGATGGGACATGTGTCCCAACATAAATCGAATGTATGTGATCCGCCCGATTACAAAAGCACCTTACTTCTTGAACACGCCTCGTATAGCCATAACGAAAACACGAATTTCCTCTTGATTGTGAGAAATGTCAATATGTAGCATCTCATTGTCTCTAAAATGAATAAATAAAACAAAAACGGTGGAAGAAAAGCGGTTTAAGAACTGGCAATTGAAACTTCTTGAAATATTGATGTGTTGATATACGGTTCCCTCAAAAATAATCGAATATACGTAGGCCAGTTTATCTGGTGCCAACTTTACATTTAATATAAAAATGTCATCTTCTAAAGGCTTTGGCTTTGATGCGAAATTCCCGACGTTCACATAATTTTTATGGCTTTATGTGGTCTAGTTACTCCATCCGAAACGAATGTATGAAAATGATGTAATAATATATGATAAAGTTAATGTGAATCGTTTCGTTTAAAAATTTTGGAAAAGGCACGAGAGAAAAACTGAGCCTTTTTGTGGCAAATATACTGAAACATAGCAAAGTCAATTGACAAATTCGTTGTTAACTGCGTTCCTTCTTAATCCTCCACTTAATTTGATTATGAGTTCATAAAAAGCTCTTGGGATTATTGCAGCTGGTATAAATGGTTCTTTGGTGTTTCTTTACGCAATATTCTTCTCCGAATTCACCGTCGGATGGGTTAGCATCAACAATTGCCCTTTGAACGTGCTCATACCCGTTTACCTAATACTAGCAGGTACGAAAGTCGTACCGATTGAGATTGCGAATTCGAAATATAATCTGCTCGTAGGGTTCTTGGGAGCGCTGGCAAAGTTTCTAAGCAAATTCGAACACAAATGGTGTTTCTACGCAACTATCGTTTTAGTTGTGATTTGCGTCGCGTGGCACGGTTTAGGTAATTTGCAAATTCGATTAAAATCATATGATTTTAGGTCGTTTTACAGGTACCTATGTCGTATATAAGGAGTATCAACCGAACTACGAGCCGGCCAAGGGAGTCTATTGCAGCCGGACGGCATATTTGATTGCTTTTTGGACCTTAACCTTCGAATATACGTTATTGTTAATGTTTATTTTCTTGTCTTGTTCCTATATGATCATGAGGGGTGACTTTAGAAAATGCGAATAGCCCACAAAGTAAAACATAGGAAGAAAATGTAAAATTTAAATCAGTTTATCAGGAATGTTAATAAAATGTTTTTTAAAGTTTGGTTTGTTTGGTTTGAAAAAGTAACCCTTTATTAAAAACATTTTCTAAAGAAAAATACACGAAGAAAGTTAATTGGGTTTATTGAATAATTAATACTAAAACGCAAAAAGCCAAACGACAGATTATAGCTCAAATCTAATTGATCCTGTGAATTTAATCGATTAAAGCGTGCTATAGATATTAATAAAACAATATTAGATAGTGAATAAAAAATATATTTTTCTTCGCAAATTTTGAGGTTTATTTGGCAATTTGGGGGTGCGTAACGTCGCAGCGAAGCTCTCGATTAAAACTGGGTTTTAAAAGCATCCAGACTTTATTGTCAATTCTACACTTACACGGTGGCTTCTCCAGGTGCGGCACTTCCTGGCAGGGTTAGCACTTTAAAGGGGAGCGCGAGGCGGAGTGCTGGAGTCAGGACGACGAGCCTATACAGGGTGTCCCACCGGGAACTAAATTGATGTTTTATTTTCAAAATTACAACAAGAAAGTGAAAAATGTTGCACTATACTTATGCATAGTGAAAGCGATTTCATAATTCTACGTCCCGTCATCAGAGGAGATCCGCAGATGTCAAACCTGCAGATTCCCAACCAAAGGTTCGTGACTCAACGACAGATGGCAGCACGAACAAAGTTACAGGAATTATTTTAACTAACTCAATTGATTTATCATTCATATTTATATAAACAAAATAATAGTTCGCTTCAAATATGGTCGAAAAATAATTGCCTTAACTTGGCTTTACAAGAGAGCAATTCCATAACCCTCTCCAGCGGAAGAAACATTTAATAAATTACACTTATGCGATCAGTAATTCCATACTGTTTTGATGATATTTTGCTCAACATGCAGCTGGCTCCTTCAGAGCGCTGTACGTATTTAAGTATTTTCCCGTTCTCCTGTCTTTACAAATATCCTGGAACATTTTGAAAGTTTCATGAAAACCTAAAACTATCGAAAAGATATGTAGATGATATTTTTGCCATTTGCCAGGAGTGTCTTTAATGCTTCACACACCGAACATCAAATTTATTATCGAATCAGAATATACCATCCCTCTAATCGTTCTAGACATTCTTATTAATCGAAAACCAAACCCAACCTCGGGCCATTCCATGTATATAAAGTCTACGTGGATGATACTTTACAGACTAACCAAAACTAATAATAATCTCCCATCTAACATTGGGTCATTTTGTTTACAGAAAACCTACGCATACAATGCATTGTCACATCACCATCCGCCCAAAAATGATCGGTTATCAACTCTCTGTTAAAACTATTTCAACCCGAGTCAATGAACGCAGAAATTATATTTACTCTTCTCTCTAATAATTTCGACATTAGAGATATTAAGCGTTGCATCACAGAATAAACTTCACCACAACCTTCCAAAGGTAATGCGTCGAAAGGCACCTTCGGAGGTCTTTCCTTACATTGAAAAGTTCTTAAAAAATATAACAACATGGATTCGTTAACGACAAAATCCCGTTTGAGATCGAGTTTACAGCATTCCTAGTATATGCGCAAAATAATATGTTGGATAGATCGGACGAAAAATATCAACTATTCTCAAGGAACAGTAAAATGCGATATCAGTTTTGGTTAACATCAGCAAGTTCCATTCATCAACAACCGATGCAGGCGGAATCCTGAAGGTTTGTAAATATTAAAGATATCGTATCGTAAATAGTAAACATATCGTCACGAACCATGACACCAGATTTTACTCCATAAGACCGAAATGCCTTGCATCTGATACTTCCTTCTGTAAGAGAAAGATTCGAGAATCTATCGATACAAGACAGATAGCTCTCTTCCACTTGGGATTCGGTTTGTGTTTTGTGTTTATTGAATAAGAAGTATGAACTGAATTAGAATACGAGCTCTATTGTATTCTGAGTCGGTTAATTAATAAATTAAATTCCTCGTAGTCTGCGCGCTGTTAAACACTTCATGGTTAAAACTAAGACTGTCGACTTAAGGATGATAGCAATTTTCCCATGACAGATCGAAGTACTTCTCCGACAGAAAACAGAAGGTATTCGAGTTACATTAATACAAATTGAAGCAGCGTTTTCAGCCACGCGTTACGCTAATAATCAACCGAATATTGATGGCTACACTTCCCCCCCCCTAAGTCTACAATTACGAGCTCTAACTCGAAAATCGAAGGGTAACACTTTAGCGCACACAAATAACGGGAGAAGCCAAGCAACGAGTTAATGGATTAGATTGTAAACTCGCGGTCGCTCTCTAATTGAACGCTTTCAACGTTTTGTAAAAGCGCATTTTATAACTAATGTAACTCAAACCTACTTCGGAAAGTCAACAAAGTTCAAGACAAAGCGCGCAGCGAACAAGACCTAAATTTGTATTTGGAGTATTAACCAAATTTGTTCTGCTTCCCATTGAACGTCCGTTAACCGGGTTTAAAAGGGAAAAACAACGAACCCGTGTCAGTTGTCTCATTTTTTTAATTTAGCAAAAGGTCTGGCGTTGTTTTACGAAATAAAAGGAAAAAAAAATACGCAGACGGGATGTTTTTGTGTTTGTCTGGGGGTGATGTTGAGATAATATATTTCGCCGGCGATGCGGTCGAGAAAAGGAGACGTTAAAATATTTTTTCGTTTACATCTATTTTAGCATTCCTTGGCGCAATATGCAAAGGACGATGTTACGCGAACGTGATAGGCACTGAAGGCTAATTATTATCCCTCGTCTGCAGATAGAAGATAAAGAAATAAAAATATAGGAAAGTCGGCTGCATCGTTTGCTCAAGTATTTTAACGCGTATACAAAATACACTAGAAATTATTTTTAATTTATAAGGCTTCTTTGGTATAATATGCGACGTCAGTAAATTCAATGAAAACATGAGTGAGACAAATTTTACATAAGTGGGAGACGGGGTGTTCTTGTTGTTTAAATATTTTACAGATACAAACCTTGCTGAATAATTTACATATCATTATTTAATTTAAAAAAAAAAAACTTCTTCAAAAACCTCCGAAAAAGAACCTACCAATAAACAACTAAAAATACATAGGCATGTTCAATAGGCAATATTTTTAATTTTTGTGAATATTAGATGAATACCAAGGTACTCATGAATTTTTATGTCTCAATAAGGCTCACGTATTATATATTACCATGACACAGGAATGATAAAATCAAATAAACAATTTTCGTTACTGCATGAAAACACTTATTTTTTTATTTATATAATATTTCGCTTATTACTAACTATTCAATATCCATTTTTGTAATTTTGATAAAATTAAACATTTTCATTTAAGCTAATAACGGGTTTTTTTAAATGTAATTAGAAATAAGTATTGCTTCCGGAGGCTCCATAGTTTACTAGATTTATGTAAGTTTAGGCAACATTAGGCAACTGAAAATACAATTTTTTGCCTCTTTAAGTTTTCTCGTAACCTGCTTCGATTTTGAAATGAAAAAATAAAAACTATTTTCTTCTATGTCTCTGAACAATAAAAATCCGAGCAAAAATCTTCTTAATCTTCGTGGACTATAGTTAGACATTTATCGGTCCATTTTTTAGACAATTATTTTGAAGTAGCCTGAGACGAGACGTCTCTTATTAATAGAGCAAACAGATAGTTCCAGTTAGACGGATGTCCTGCACATTAAACTTTACCAGTTCACCACAATTTTATGAAAAGATTAGTAGGTCCAGGTCAAGACAGCCTCTTTCCTTGACCTGCACGCTCTCCTGGGGAGGGGTTGGATTATTTCGTATAGGGTTTGATGGAACATTTTTGGGAATTTTTCTAACTGATTTTCTTATAAAATAAAATAAATCTTGTGAATAGAAACTCTTTCTTTTTCTAAATAAGCTATTTCCTATTACAAAAAACGTGGACACTCACCATTTTATTTAATTTAACGTAGTATTACGTTCTAGTTAGTATTTTATCGTAGTTAGGACATATGTTTATGCGAAAATAAGTTAACCATTATCTTCAATGCTCGCTCTTGTCAGTCATCTTCTTCCCAAAAAGGAAATAAATTTTCTTTTTTAAAAATCTCGCTTCAATAAACTGTAAATTTTTGCCGTAAAAACGAATTATTCAATTAAAACTTTCACAGTTGATAGCTAATGAATTTTTTATACAGGGGACACCGAAAAAGTGCACTTAACTTAAATCTTGATAACACTTCCCTCACTCCTCACTTAAAGTAGCTTTGACAAAACTCTCGCAGCTATAATACTTCTATTTTCTAGAATTTGTTTCTTGAACCTTCTGAATTTAATACGATTATTACAACTCTACTGTACTTCCCATGTATTACGAGTAAATTATAAAATCAAACCTAACGTCATTCAAACCTCAGAAACCTTTTCTTGTAATTTTTCGTCAAGAAACTTCAATTGATTGACACCTGGGAACACGTTTCTGCATGGTGAGTTGGAAAGTAAGTCAGCTATAACCAACCTCGTGTAATCTTTAGGAGCGCGTCTAACACGTAAATTGTTATGTGTGAGGCATTTGCTTAAAAAACGGTAAGTGATAGGTATAACATAGTATAATTTGTTTGGCCAAGTTAATATAGACGTGCATTTATGGAAAATGACTTTTTATTCTTACATTGGACATTAGTTTTCTATGAACTCAATAAATCCGAAAAGCTTTCTGGTTAATAGTATATTATGCAACAAACAAACGGCATTTGACTCACGAGTTTGACATGAGCGAAGCGCAGCGGAGCGAGTGTTTAATATGTGAGTGACTTAAAAAGTTTATCAAACGTGTTATACTTTTTCTACGACAGTTAGTTTTTTGGTACTTTTTTGCAAAACATTCACTGACATGACCGTCCCAAACCAGTGCGGTAAAATTCCGGAAAAATCCGGATCCGTGGGAAACGAAACTGACGTGGTAAAGTGACGCTTCCCGCACGCTAGATCGGTGGGTAATTAGGTAGTTTACGGACCGGAGTAGAAAAACACTT